AGTGGTAGTGGTAGTGATAGCAGTAGCAGTAGCAGTAGCAGTAGCAGCAGGAGTAGTAGTAGTAGGCGTCGTCGTCGTCTTTGGAGTCGTCGTAGCCGTAGTCGTAGTCGTAGTCGTCGTCGTAGTAGAAGCAGCAGTAGAAGTGGCAGTCGTAGGAGTAGGAGAATGGGCAAGAGGAGGAGTCGGAGAGGAGTACTAGTTGGCATCACTAGTCATCGACGTCGTCCATAGACGCCCTAGCGCGGAATCAACAACTGCTGGGTTTAAGGGCAAGAAAGACGTCGATAGGATGATCCCCACGTTGGCGCCCGGCCATGCCCGGCTGTTGAACGACGCAGACAGCCTTCATTCGTTCGAAGGGCTTTGCACATGAGGTTGAGGGTTTAGGGTTTGAGGTTCAGGTTGTGGGGAACGCACGCCTCCCGACGGTTTCTAGTTTGCAGTTTGACAGTTCCGCTAAGCCTCAGCAGTCCGAAAGTTGCTGGAAGGGCGAAGGCTCCTCAAGAAATGGCTCTCGTAAGAGCCACGCGCTTTCGTTTCGTTTTTCTTCTCAGTGTCTCACGATACGCGTACCCGACTTGACGGGTGGGGTGTATAGTGGGGTGTTTAGTGTGTATGAGTTTCAGAGTGACGAAGGGGGCGAGAGAGGGGTTCCTTCTTGGGTCGAAGGAACTCTGTTTTTACGTTCGACGCAGCATTGGGGGTTTGGCCTGCTACTCCGCTGATCTGCTCGGTTCGCAGTCAGGCGCTGACTTTGTGCTTTCTCGTGGAGCTGCTCGAAGCAAAGATCTAGCTTGGTGGGCTTTGTCTGTTTATGGTTGCAGAACAAAGCTGCATTTTCCTGGCGATGTTGATGGGTAGACCCGCAGACCGCATGAGCGATTGCTTTGCGGACCGGGCCAGTGCATCGCCCAGCCATGTTGAGGCTCCTTATCAGGATGTTCGCGTACGGGAAGGAGTTCATCCTCTCGGAAGATCGGGGGTGGAATTTGCTGGATTGTGTAATTGCCGCGCTCTGAGTTCCACGTGTGCAAATTGACATGTATCACTAAAGTCTCTGTGAATCATGTGCCACGGCTGCCAACGTGCGTACATCCGTAAATCCTTGTCTTTGGGGCCCCATGAGGTTGGCTGCGCCGTTGGAGAGTTCGTTCTGGATGTTGGTTATGCGTTCGCCAGTGGCATGCGCCACACGGCTCGCATGATTTTTTTAAGCAGTGTGCAGCATTGGGAAAGGGAGGACGGAGGGCTACGAGTGCTTGCTGCATTGAGAGCCCGGACCCCTGAAGTTGCGCCAAGTCTCCGAGTCTGCCAGGTCTCCTTGTGAAGTTGCTACTGGTAATAACGCAGAGAACATACAGTAGGGGCCTTCAGCATTATGATATAAGGATATATAAGGCATATTCCTGAATTAAGGGGTACTGGGTTCTCTGGGAACAACAGCTGCACCGGCTTAGTTGCAAAGTGACGAAGCCCAATTCTAGGGGCTTTAGGAGGGACCCTTAATAGGGACCTTTGTGGTTATGGAGACTACCTGGCTATACAAGGGGTATATAAGGACTATACAATGGTTGTTTAAGGTAATCGGATCAAGGGTCCCTATTAGGGGTCCCTCCTAAAGTCCTTAGACCAATACCTGGGGCCGAGGAGACGAGTCTGGGACGGACCTTTCCATAATGAAGGCCATGCGAGTGGTCCGGATCCTGCGGCTTGTGCGAGTGGTCCGCGTGGCCCTGCCTGCACTAGCATGTGCGAAGACTGTGCCCTTGACCCTAAACCCTAAACCCCTGTAGATTGGGGACCTAAACAGGGACCCTGATTTAGAGAACTACCCTTTTGTCTGTGGCTTTGCGTGAGTGCAGTGTGTATTTGCATGTGTGAATGTGTATGTAGGCAGATGCCCATGTAAACATGTACAAGCTTTCTTGTTTGCCGTGTCGTCCCTCGCTTAATGCAGACCCAGTGGGCAAGAGTTTTGGGCCGAAGTGCCGGCAACCGAGGTCGTTCGATTCTTTCGTGCTCTTCGGGTGCTGATTGCGTCGATAGTTCACACCTTGAGGCATCCTTGATGGCTGTTGATCTTGGTTGAAGCTCAGCACCACGCCGGGCCAACGGCATTGAAGGGGTAATCAGGGGCTTCCCTATCGCATGCTTGTGCATTTGCCGGCCCGTGGTTGCAGGTCCGTGGTTTGGGCATTGATTCTTCTTTTCCTTATCATGCGCCTCTGCTACGGATGATCAGCCTGGCAATGCAGATAGCGTCGCCGTAAAGGCAGCTCGTTTCCCATTTTTGCTTGCCTTTCAAGACAGATCTCCCAAGGTACACCTTCGGCATCCTTTTCACGCACGCCTATACCGAGTTCGCTTCCAACAAAGCCTCAGCCGGAACGATCGCCGACATGACTTGTACAGAGCCCTCCACCGAGTGCCAGTTGAGATCCTACTTTGGATCTGTCCTGGTGCCGCTTGGCTGCAACTTACGTCGCACGACGGGAGGTAGTTCCCATGAGGCTTAGAATCGAAGGCTGAACTCCGAAGGAGCTCAAAGAGGCTCTTGGGACCGGGACTGGGCGTTGCTGTTTGCAAGATTTGCGCCATTCTTGTTGCCGACGTGCAAGATCGTTCTGAACACAATGACAACTAGACTAGCATCATGACTGCGTGGCTGTATGGCAGTGAAGCACCGATGCCCACCTTCCTTCGAATTGTGGTGACATTCATGGACACGGAGCACAGGTTGAACCGGGGAACAGGCCACGAGCAAAACCCGAATGAACCTGCCTTGTGTGGTGGCGAGGTCCATTTTGCTGCTATTTGCAGCCATCAGTGATGGAATCAGCTGGATCAGTCTCATCACACCATTATGGGAAGCCAGTGGCGACACTGGTGTGTGGCTCATCATGCTGCTTGTCTGAACTGTACAATGTGAACGTCTGTGACTTTGTACCCGTTTCTTGGTGTCTTCATTCTTGGTGCTTGTACAATGTACTGCAACTTAAAGGCAAGCACTTGCACATGCTATGCTCTAGTCACACTCACAACGACGGCTAAAGCCAAGCTGCGACTTCTGAAGTCAAAGATGCTCCTGGATGGCTAGGTGTCAAGTTGGTGTATGTCCTGGTGTCGAGCAAAACTGTCGGCAGCTTCTGCTTTGCTGAATACTGAATCGTAGCATGCGCCATATAGGCACTAGCATACACGTATTTAGCTTCCTCCATCTTTACATGCACCTGTACGCAGGTACTTTAGTAGAGGATAGCGCGTTGTAGCAATTATACCATGTTGATGTGCAGAGATCGACAATTGACACAAGAGTCTTGGTTGCATGTTGTCGATTTCGCCATCCAGCTCTGGCTACGGATGCCTTGGTCTACGCATCACCTGCAATGGGCAGCTGTTTCGAACGAGTCGATGCTGTCATAGGGCTTCTACAAGAGCTTGCATTTTACAAACATGCACATCTTGAGCTGTATAGCTGCCCAAGGCACTAAAACTTGCCTTCCGCATGCAGAGGACGAGCTAGAGCTAGCAGCTAGGTGTGTTGTACGGATCCCATGAAGTGACGATGTCGTCGTTTGCCTATCAACATGCAACACACTGTCAGAAGTGCATTGCGCAAGGCATGGCTTTCGCAGGACAGGCGATGTTAGTATTTGTAAGTTTGATCGAGCCTAGGCGGCAAGGATTTCAGACCCGACAATCAACAGGCCAGGGTAGCTACAATGCAAAACTTCAGGGTAGTAGTAAGAAGAAGCACGACAACAACAACAACAACAACAACAACAACAACTACTACTACTACTACTGCTGCAGCTGCCGCGGCTCCTGCTGCTGCTACTACTACTGGTGCCAACAAGCTTCATCATTGAAGCAGGGCCTCCATGATGAAGCGCAACCAGGATTCGAAACCTTCCAATGCGAATCGTCAGGGTTAGGGATGGTTCGCTAGCCTATGCGCTGTTACGGACTAACACGCTGTGTTGCTGCTGGGCTGGTATCACCATGCCCTATTTTGAGTCTAGGCGTGCGAGCGAGGTGATGGTTCCGTTAGTTGATAGCATTCTTCTTTCTGTCATCGAACCTAGGGTTGGATGGGGCATGAACAGTTTCTTTCTTTTTCCGGCAGAGTTTGGTAAAGGCCGAAGACAGTAACTGGTATTGGCATTGGTGCATTTCGGTTTGTCACTAGCCTTCGGACAGCAGGATACGGAAGGATTCTTGTCCGTGAAGCCTTCAAATTTCCTCGGTTTCGGTTGCAAGAAACCTTCATGGCATGAACACCCGCTTCAGTGCATTTCCTGGCGCTGAAGGTTTCTGGTGTACATAGCGCTGGTGGAATTTGCCGTGTTAAATGTGGCGCCTTGGCGATCTTAGCTTGCTGCCAGACACATATGAAACAGGGACCTTGGGTTGCAGAATATGTTTTCGAACATATGCTGTCTAGCACAAATGTATGTTCGACTCTAGCATCGAAAGATGCATGTCAACAGATGTACGCCGCCAAGTCATTAGCAATGAGACCTCCCAAAAGCGACGGTCCGAGAGAAAGGCTTCTTTAGCAGGAAATGCAGAGGAACCCTTGTCGCATTCGCAAGCCTGTCAAACTCAACACCCTATCAGCCCTTTTCTTCAACTCTTTGGCTGTACATATTGCTGTCTACGTGAAGTTTGTGTGCATATCAGTCTGCACAGACACAAGAGAAATCCGCGCATACAGAGATCTATGAGTGTCTACCTCCCCGTATACAAACTTTTTCCATAACATACGTCTTCTGAGTCACTCACGGAGAATTGTTTGTCCGATTGAACGAAGTTGCCGTGACCAAGGCGTTGATCCACCGCTCATGTGCAGCAATGCTCAAGATGCAACGGCACCCATGCGTTAATTGTTGCGTCGTCTCATGCAATCGACCACAGCGATCCATGATGCTGTTTACTGTTGCGGGACCGGATGCCCCAGCGGACAATCACCGGCGCAAGAGGACTGTTTGGTCAGCAAGCATGCCTGTGGGCAATGGCCGTTCGCTCGACGGACTCGGGCAGCTGACTGCACCTCTTGGATGGGAGTTTACGCCAACGGCAACGACAAGGACGAGGAGTTCCTGATGTGTACCAGCCGGACAGCGTGGTGTGGAATGGTTGCCTTCGTTTTCGGATCCTTCTGTTGAGAGGCCGTTTCAGCCTGTCATGGGCTGTAGCAAACTTTTGCAAGGCTACCTTGCCATCAGGAGAATTGTGTGGGGGTGAGCACATCGCCGTGACCCCGGTCACGCCTTCTCAAACTTGGACGTTGCTGTTGCGCTTGCTTTCACCGAAGTTCCAGTTGGTGCGGTCCGGTGCAGCATGCTTCCGGCGCTTCTGTCGCACATGAGACCGTGAGAAGTGGCTCTGGATACAGCTGCCAGTGCATGGTTGGCAATATGACTGATGCCTTTGGAAGTGATCATTGGCGGGGCAACAGGTTCGGTAGAATTTTGAGGTTTAATTTTCCCGTGGAAAAGAGGAGAATGGCGTCGCTCTGGTCGCCGTGCTTCCTGCTTTATTCGGCCGTGTATGTCAGTCGGAACCTATGCAGGTTGTCCTCTTAGCTTGTTTGACAATATCACGCGCCAGCGACAGGAGGTTTCGACTTGTCGTGCATCGTCATGGCAAAAAAGCTGAGGGGGGACGCAGGGCAGCCCAAGGAGGTTTCGACCAGCACGATAGCGACACGCGCCCCGGTAAATCGATTCGCATCTACCAGGATAGGCACATGCAGCGGCGCATGTGTGTGCCTTTTTATGTTTATGTAATTCTACGTATATGCATACACACGTATAAACAGATAGTTATGCACAGACACATGTGTGGACATACGCATACAAACACGCTTCGATGCATGCAGCGATAGTCAAACGCACAGAGATGCAGCCACAAGCACATGTGCACATACAAATCATTCTCGCGTGCGCATGCGCATGCGCATTCAGACATGAGCACTTGCGCATGTGCTCATCCGTGCGTTAACAAAGAAACCGGTGCACATGCAGGTTCGCGCGTAGCCCGTGAGATACAGGTTCATCCACGTGTGCATCACGTGCATATTTCCAGATGCATTTGTGTGTACGGGCACACACATGGCACACGTGTACGCAGGTAGCACCCGTTTCGGTTGTGAATGCTAGCTGCTGTATCCTTCGTCATCAATCTGCATTGCCATTTTCACATGGATAACGGTTTTGCGTGCTAATTTGCACAGACACATGGTCGCAGCAAGTTGTGTCTTGCACGTAAAGAAGTTTTTAAAGACCAATGACATCAATGCGTATGCATGCGTGGTTTTTAACGCGTGCTCCGTATTGTTTCGGTCACCGGTCTTGCCTCATTGGTCAGCTCGTTTTACTTTATGGTGTCGGGAACGCATGGCTATTCGGTGTTGCTGCCGCAAAATAAGACTCATTTGCTGAGCAGCATCGTTTTGTGCTGGCTTAACGTGTTTCGTGAAAGCACACACCCAAGCACCATACTGTACATGTTGTATCTTGGAGCCGTGCGAAGCTGCAGACGTTCAAGGGTCTTTGCACGACAACTTTACGACGAAGCTGCAGGTAACTGGAGTTTAGGGTTTAGTGGACCAGAACAAAGTTAGTTAGAGCGAAGCTGCAGGTAATTGTGATGTCGGTTTGGCGGCAGTGCATGTGGGAAAGTTCTTCTTCTTCTTCGAAGCTGCAGGTAACTGGAGTTTTCTGCCAGAATGCTATCGAATCGGCGTCTTTGGACCAGGACCGCTCCGGAAAACCTTTTGCTTGTTCTGTTTCATCTGTATCAACCGCATCACGGGTTACGGTAAGGACAGCGCATGTTCTTGAGAAGTGTCGCGTGCACACAGATCTTTTTCGAATGGTCAGTCATTGTCATAACACGCGCTTTCGACACAACAGAACGGTGGACGTGCAATGCATGCAGGAGATGGTCATTGAGACGCAACTCAAGCTCGGTCCCCAGCGCAGGGGATGTCGTGATGAACTTTACGTGGTTTTACGCAACCGCACATCGCTTGGCGATGTACTGGCTGCTAGCTGACGAATCGCAGCAGTGTATCTAAGCATGTTCATTTCGCAGAGGTCAAAGAAGCTGTACACAGACCAAGTTTCTGATTTGTTTCACCTCATGGACGAGGTGCGGTCGCAGTGATTGTTGTCTTCGCAAACAAACCTTTTAGAAAAAGCACCGATGACTTTTCTTTTTTGGTACAATATGATTGCATCGATGAGTCAACCTTCGGAGGGCAAGAAGGGCGAACTCACCGCTATTGCCTTCGAGCAGCACATCAACGATCCGCAGGTGGGGAAAATGAACGGGTGCAACAAATTGTCACCATTCTCCATGCCGCTGTCGGTGCAAATCGCAGTGAATAACACAAAGAGAAATCGGTGTCAAACTTCGTTTTTGATGAAAGGCCTACATTGTAGCTGCATGGCAATTCTGCACGCAGGTTGCAGCTTATTTCCGTGCGCTGGACATGGACTTGAACAATGTGTGGAAGTTCTGCGGATGGCAAGAGCAACAGGTCACATCCAATCCACATGGCTATGCTTCAGGACCACCGTTGCCTTTAATGTTATCTGAGGCTGTTCACATTGCTTGACCCGGCATCTTGGCAAGTCAGGAACGTACATCAACTATCCAGTTTCTCTTCCTAAGCCCTGACGCAGACTCAGCGCAATTCAAGTCGCTAAGGATGGTAGCGGCACCATCGACCTGCAAGAGTTTGTGGAAGGCTCGTGCATTTTGTCGGGAAGACTCGCTTGTTCGCCCACGGTGGCGCTAAGTTGGGTTAGGGTTCTATCCGGGCTGTAGGAACCCTAGGCGGCTTGCTATACGGGTTCCATATGGTTTCTATAAGGGTTTTAAGGGTTCTGTATATACAGGGTGCAGAGTTTTGTTGGGTTCCAGCACAGTGCTTGACGATTCGCACTTCAGGTGGCGTTTTGTTACGACTCTAGTTCGGTAAACATGGCCCGTAGTCGACAGATGCCTTATGTCGCCAGGTGTACTAATGTTAGTGCTTGTCACTACAGCTCTTCGTCTCTGCAACCTACGACCTGCAAATCTCCCGGTCGCTGTGTGTCAATCTGTTTTCTTCTGGCGGTGAGGTACGCGTGCTGTCTTTACAACGGCACAGATGACTGCAGGTAAACCTATCCCGAGTTGTACGACTGCGTATCACTCTGTTTTGCCGTGTTGTCTGATGAAATTGATGTGTTGTTACATACTCTCTACCAGCATTCGTAGACGCGGTGTGGCAGCTTTTTAGACAAGATCTTGCACAGCTGTAATTCCATGTCGGCGTGCCTGGCACCCATGCATTTACACGTACCGATACAGACTCACTTGGTTTGACTTGTGGACGTTTTTTGTGTTTGAACTTCACCCTTTCCCCCCCGCGTAACTACCCCTCTTCCCAACAGAGAACTTCAATCATCGGAACGCGTTTCAACATGAGCCAGCATAACAGGTGGACCAGGCATGTGCAGAGACATGCATGCAGATATTTATGCAAGTATACAGGCTTTAATGCACGCTTACGCGTGTACCTGCTCGTCATGTACTTTGACTTCTGCACAGAAGTCCTGGACTCATGTTAGCCTTCACATAGGCCGTGCTATTTAATAGTGCAAACCAAGTGTAAACACCTCACTCTATGCAAATTTGACTGCTATGGCCTATCAGTATGCACCGTCTCCCCCTTTCATAGTCTGTGCTATGTCCTTGATCAAGTTGATTGGCCAGTCACCAGGCTGCCTGAAGCTCCGGGGACCGGCAACGCGACTTGACATGGAGCTCCTTGGTGACATGAGCACTTTGTGGCCACTTGAGTTTTCCCGTGCCGCGGGCTCCCTGACTCTGCCTCTACCGGCTTCGGCCATTCTTTTTGGTGGGAGTCCTCTCTGAGGCTGGTTCTCAGCGTCGCGAGGCCAGCAGCTGAGTGCACCTGTAGGACTAGAGTCATATACCCATATTAAGGGACTTATAACCCTACTTGTAGCTACCCATGAACCTCCATAGGGTTGTGGATGCGCTGGTCCTTCAGCACTCCAGAGCTGCACGGAGCATCGAAGGCTTCAAGGCAGTGTGTGCTCCTGGACAGGTCGTCGGCGAAGCGCCAGAATCAACTCGTCACAAAGCTGGAGACCAATGTTGAGAGTTGTTCAGGGTACTTGCCTTCGGCTTCATCATACTGAATATGTGGATGATACGCGCAATGGTACCACAATTGCCAGTGATGCGACTGTGATCAAGAGGAATGCTACGACAACTGCGGCTACGATGCCCATGGTTACTACTCTACGACTATTATTATTATTATTATTGCTACTACTACTACTACTACTACTACTACTACTACCACTACCACTGCATCATGCTTCTACTGCAAGTGCTACTTCTAGTGCTCGTGCTACTGCAACTGCCTCTCAAACCCCGGGTGAGGACAAGCTGGAGAGGCAACTTCGCAGCTGTGCAACCGCATCCATGCCGAACTTCCGGCAAATCAGTGCAGCCTCTCAGTCCCCAGGCTGGCTCCGATCCAGGGCATGTTTGGCTTTGCACTTGCCCCCCATGTGTGACGCCCCACCTTTTCTTACAGACCCCTGTGCTTTGTTGCAGGTATCGCTTTTTGACGAGCGACCCTTCGGGTCTTCAATTTTCCCGTCGCACTGCCTTAAGTCATTTTCTGAGAGCACCAAATCGGAGCTCTGAGACCGCAGACGGCCTGCGAAGTTGCGTCTGGACGACAAGGGAATCGCTCAGGTGCATCGGAGGCGTTGCAAGCTCGAAGAAGCGGGTTCTGTTTCAAAGAAGCCACAAGAAGAGAAGCCTCTTGATGCTTATTGTAAACGCTTCTAATATGCCTGGCAGATCCAGAAAAATCCAAATTTGAAGTCTCGCAAGCAGCGGCCGAAAACTGCAGACCCTTGGACAGCTGCTTAGAAGCCTCGCAGCCCGGATGAATCCCAAACTCCTGAGCTTACAAAACCGGGTTTAGGGTTTAGGGTTTAAGGTGGTTTAGGGTTTAGGGTTTAGGGTCTAGGGCTGCATTCTCAGCACCCGTGTTTGAACAGGAGGCTTGAGCCTCCATGGATATGTGTCACACAGCTGGCCTGTTGTGAATACTTTGAGAGGTCAGGGGCATGCGAGTAAAGGTGCAGAGCGTATTTCCGAAGTCATTGCACAACCGGCCCCGAGACAGCTTTGCTGGAGTTACCATCCTGATTTCCAAGACGGCCGTTCCACTGAGTGGGAAGTCGCTGGAAAATGGAGCTCGCACGTGCTGAGGGTCGGGTAAGCAAAGACACCTGCACGATCAGAAGCCTAAGCAACCACGTCGCAAACGATGGAGGCACGGGCTCTCTTTCTGGTCCTCCTTGTCCTTGGCCAGGAGGTGTGATGCTCGGTGCAAGCTGGAACTGGGCGATCGTTTAGCTTGAACTGTCAGAGTGCTAGATTTGCATCACTTTTGCCCAGACTTGGCTGCCGCAACGAGACAAACATCTGGGGAACGCACTCTGTCATGTTGGCATCAGTTTGCGAGGCATAGCTACTCTGGCGTCGCGGCTTGTGTCGTGCTTCATTGAAGTTGACGAACTCTGCGTGATGACAACCCAACTTCTGACACCTCTAATCGGAGGGACCATTGTTGTCCCGATGCGAAAGAGCAGTTATCCCTGACGGACGGAGGCTGCATGAGCATTGTCGCATTGTAAGGCATGATTGTACATCCAGTCTGCGCTTGCAGCTTACTGGTACTGAAGTTGGACACCTCCAATCAGAAGGTCCATTGTTGTCCCGATGCGAAAGAGCAGT